AAAAAAAAATTCTTTCTTTGTTTTTCAGTTATAGATGGACACAATACCTTTTTTTATTTATATGAGGTGCTGAGGATCAAACCCAGTGCCTCACATGTGCAAGACAAGCACTATACCACTGAGCCACAACCCCAGCTCCTTCCTCTTCTTCTTCCTACTTTTTCTCTTTTCCTTCTTCCTTTTCTTCCTCCTTCTCCTCTTTCTCCTTTTCCTCTTTCTCTTCTTCCTGCTATTCCTCCTCTTGTTCTTGCTCTTCGTTTTTGTAGTGCTGAGGCTTAAACCCAGGGGCGCTCTACCACTGGCCTCAAACTTGGGTTCTCCTGCCCCAGTCTCCCAAATTGGTGGGATTACAGGTGTGCACCATCACGTTAAGTTCCCAGATAGTTTTATAAGTAGGTTTTTGTTTTGTTTTGTTTGTACTAGGATTGAACCTGGGCCACTTTGCCATTGAGCTATATCCCCAATCCCTTTTATTTTGAGACAGTGTCTTGCTTATTTATTGAGGCTGGCTTTAAACTTGGAATCCTCCTGCCTCAGCCTCTCAGGTTGCTAGGATTACAGGCATATGTTGCTGAATTCAGCTATAAATGAGTCTTAAACCCAACTTTCAGGGACCAAATTATCCTAATCTTATACAAAGTGTTCCAGAGAATAGAAAAAGATGGAATTACATATCATAAAAGATGAACTTCCATTTGACAAAAACAAAGTACAAACCAGGAGAAGACTCTTGGAATACTTATTACTAGCTGCCACTGCTTGGAAGGCTGAGMTAGGAGGATCACAAGTTCAAAGACAGTCTCAGCAATGGCAAGRYGCTTAGCAACTCAGTGAGACCCTGTCTCTAATAAAATACAAAATAGGGCTGGGGATGTGACTCAGTGGTTGAGTGCCCCTGACTTTAATCCCTGGTACCAAAAAAAAAAAAAAAAAAATACACGTTACCACATAAGATTAGTAATAAAAATGCAATTTACAGATTGAGGATGTAAACTCAGTGTTAGGGCATTTCCTAGCATGTGTGAAGCCCTGGGTCAGTCCCCAATGCTACCAAAAAAAAAAGTGTTTTGTAAAAATTCTTATAAATCAGAAGCAAAAGACAGCCTATTGAAAAAATAGGCAAATGACATAAACAGGCATTTTACTGAAGAAGTATTTCATATTCCAAAATATGAAAAACTGATCACCTGCAGTTTATGAGAAGTTAAGACCAAAATGACCTATTTAGTACCCATGTGGATTGGCAAGTATTAAGAAATCTGATACTATTTTTTATTGTGCTGACAATTGTGGATCAGCAGAATCTCCTTTAATAGTCTATGGGGATATAAATTGGTGTGACCATTTTAGAAAGCATTTTTTGTGTTATTTCATTAAGCTGAAGAGWTTTATCACTGTTGACCCAGCATTTTCATTCCAGCATATGCACACCCAAAGATGTATACAGGAATGTATAAAACAATATTGTTTATAACAGCAAACCTTGGAAACTGCTCCAGCGCTCATCAGAATAATGGATAAATACATTCTAGTGTAATATTACAATTGTTATTCAGCAATGAAAATAAATGACAGCATTAGAATGTAACAGCATGGAAAAATCTTAGTAATATGTTGAGTAAAGAAATGAAATTTCCAAAAGACTATATACTGCATGATGCCTTTTTTATATTGTCCAAAAGCAGACAATATTAAACACTGTCTAGGGATATATGTATATGAGATAAAACTAAATAAAAAAGGGAAGAAGAAGGAAAATGAAAGCAAAGGAATAATAACCCTGGATGTAAGTCAGTAGAAGAGTGGTTTCCTAGCATGTATGAAAACCTRATTTTGATCCCCAGCAAAATAATAATAACCCAAATCTCAGGAGTGTGGTTACCCTTCGATATAAGTCACTTAGAGTTCTAGTTCTTGGACTTAAGTTATTGGATCAGGTCTCTACRTATTTATTATCCTGTTATAAACAGTGTTTCATGAAACAAAGGTTGTGAGTAATCCACAAGGGTAACTGCTGATACATATTTATTGAATGTGTGCATGAATCTTATTGTGTGTAACTGAGGTCTAAACTTGTCTGAATTCCTCAGTTTTTACCTTTGTCTCATCCTGAGGAGCTCTCTGATTAAGCTCTCATTACTTTCTGATGAGATTAGAAATGAGATTCTTTTGGCTTAGTGCCCAAAGTTTTCCTTCCTGGCCAAGTGTGATGGCACATACCTGGAATCTCAACTACTAGGAGGCTGAGGCAGGAGGACTGCAAGTTTGAGGCCAGCCTGGACAACTTAGCAAGACCCCATCTCAAAATGTCTCAAAAAAATAAAAAGGGCTGGGGATGTAGCTTAGTAGTTGAGCACCTTTGGGTTTGATCCCCAGTGCCTCAAAAAGAGGAAAAAATATTATTTTTTTCTGTTTTCTATTTCCTTTCTTTCCTTCTCTCTTCTCCTAGAGGCCTTTGTTTACCACTAAGTGCCTGAATACTTCTGGTTATCAGATGGAGCCAGGAATCTCTATGGACTTCTTGTCTTTCMTTAACACTTTACTAATTATATATAAACATCCAATATCTCTGTCCTTCTTTCCTCTCAGAAAGTGGTGATTACAGATCCACACTATTGTATGATTTTATTACTGGAGTATAGGTCATCTAGTCCAATTCCTTATTACTTTACAGATAAGAATGCAGATATGCAGAAAAGTTAGATGAGTTTCTCAAGGTCATATGGCTATGAGTAGCAGAATTAGGACTGGAATCCAAATCTCTTGACATCTAGAACATGTTATCACTCTATTGGACTGATAAGGTGGGCTTTGCTTGAAACACTGGGTCTCTGAGATCCCTGTAGGTGTTTGAATGTTATATAACTTTGAATGAGATGTGTGCAAATGTCTTGCCTTACCATAGTTATTCTGGCATTTGACCAACTATCTTATGTTTCCTTCTTCTCCATTCTCAGGTTTTTTGGTTTTTTCTTCCTTAGGGTACCTTTAGCCTGGTGACATTGGGTACCCCTTGAAGAGGGAGCAACCATTTGATCAATGGAGCCTTAGATGATTTGGCCACAGTGTGCAGGTTGAAATGAGGGACAATTTGAAAGGAGTTGGTAAACTCCATCTGTTTAAGTCTTGTTTGGGGACTTCTGATAAGTGCATTATCTGAACACCAAGTATCCAGAGATTATTATAAAAACTATATTCTCAGGGGCTGCTGTTAGACATGGACAGAAAGATCATTGGGTCATTAAGTATAGGACAGTACACAGGATTGGGATGAGACAAGATTTGAGTTATGTTATAAGCCCCATCTCTAAGATCCACTGTAGAAATCAGATTGTTCTTTCTTATCCTCCTGTCTTCTTCCTCTGGACTAGAACTTGAATGGGATTTTGTCTTGGAACCGTGTTGCTGAAAAAGCCAGGCTGAGGTAGTCATATTTGGATGCAGAGCTGAACCTTGTTAAGAATAACGGAGATGTAGAAATTGAGGGATAGTAAATATACTCTAGAAGGAAGGAATTGGCAGTTCAAGCTGAGAAGTTTTCATTGTTCTGAGTTTTGTTCAGGCCATGAATCTTTCATGAAACTTTAGTGTGAATGCATGATGAGTTGACATCCTGATCAGTGAAGTATGTCAGTCCGATGGTCATCCTTCCCACTTCTACACCGTGGCTATCACAAAACCAAGAATTGAAGCAGAGTGGAGCTAGTACTAATAGGATGGTGAAATATGAGTTCTGCTATGACTTGTAACTATGGCATAATTTTCATCTTCATCAGTCTCCCTCTTTGTCAAACACATGAATACACACACATACTCTTATCCCTACCTGGGCCTGTGATAAAGCTAAGTACAGAAACTGAGGGCCTGTCCTAAGGCCAAAAAGATTTGGGAGTAGGGACACAGGCATTGTTTCAYGTTTATCTAAAAATTCTGGTATAGTCGATAAAGTTATAAACATTGATTCTTTATTGTGGCGTAAGGATGATGGAGGATTTATGATTTTAGATAATGTGTAAACTAGAAGGAATTGGCCCTTCTTTCTCAAGACTTGAGAAAAAAAGGTAGGATTCTTCAGTTTAGTTGCCATTATGATCACCTGTGGAAATTTATCWTGTAAGTGCTTTGCTTTCTCCTTTTTTTCCTGAATGACTGAACAGAATTTTTTATGTAACTTTGAGACTAGAGCATATCTGAATTGCTCTGGTAACTTCCTCTCCATTCATTTCATTCAGCTTGTCATTTGATACTGAGGTATTGATAGCTGATTCTTCTAGTCCCCTAATTCCTGGCTCATTTCCAGTGTTATTCCATTATGAATAAAACCCTTCATAGTTCCCTGGGGTTCTGAGGATAAATTCCAGTTGCCTTAATATGACCTACAAGGGTAGCTTACCTTTCCCACATCATTCGTTGCAATTCCTCTGCCATTCTGTACAAACTAAGGCACATGACTTTATTTTTCCTGCAGATTTTCCATGTCTATTACTTCTGCCCAGAATACTTGACCCCTTTAACTAACTCTTCTCAGTCCTGTAGTTCTCAGCCTGTCATAAGGACAATTTCTTCAAACCCCTGGGTTAGGCAGTTCCCCTTCTCTGGATCACACAGTGCTCTATAATCTCTTCATCACAACTCTTACCATACTGTGTTGTAATTACTTGTTTGTTGCCTGTAATTCCCACCAGACTAAATTCTGTGTGAGCAAATATCTTGTTTTATTTGGTTCTGTATTGCCAAGTGTCTAGTTCAGTACCTGATACATAGTAGGTATTTCAGTAAATATTTGATTAAGGAATTGATGATTGAACAGAGCTTGCTGTTCTGTGACAGGAATGGGAAAAGGACAGCACAGGATGCCCTCCAAGGATGAGCTGGTCCAGAGATATAACAGGATGAATACCATCCCCCAGGTATTATTAGTTGGCTCTGCTGTAAGGAGGTAGGATTCTTCTCTGGGGCTAGTTTAGGTTACAAAGATGGGTGGGGAAAGAGTGGATCTGGGGTGATTTGAAGCTCATTTAAAAGAATCAGGTATGCCTTCAGGTGGACACACTTCCTGAGTAACATGTGGTTTCTTTCCTAAGTGTGAAAGCAGAGACTGAGTTTAGATGAAAATGTAAAGATAAGTTGGACACAGTGGCTCATGCATGTAATTCTAGCGACTTGGGAAGCTGAGGTAGGATGAMTGCCTCCCCAACTTACTGTGAGGCCCTAAGCAACTTAACAAGATAGAGCTCAGTGGTTTTTTTTGTTTTGTTTTGTTTTAAGAATTCCTCCTCTTTTTCTTCTTTTTTTTTTTTTAATTGTAGTTGGACACAATACCTTTATTTTATTTATTTTTATGTGGTGCTGAGGAGCAAACCCAGCGCCTTGAGTGTTCTACCGCTGAGCCACAGCCACAGCCCCGAGTGCCCCTGGCTTAAAAAAAAAAAAAAAAAGTAAAGATGGAAGCCTTGGGCCTATCCAGACTGATTATGGGAAAGCAAACTTTTGGAGGGTGGTTGGAAGCTCAGGAGATCCCTAATCCCTATCCCCATTATCACCAGCTAATGAGCCTGTTTGGGGAAAGCCCTAACAGTATATTTGGTTTTGTTCACCTTTGCCTCCTTCTTTTTCAGACTCGATCCATTCAGTCAAGGTTCCTGCAGAGTCGGAATCTAAATTGTATAGCACTTTGTGAAGGTAGGTAGTTTGTCCAGTCCTAATTTAATTGGTTCCCCAACCTTTATTTCTGATTCATATGATATGTGATCCAGCCAAGGGTGATGTTGAAGCATCATGTCTTCCCTCCCCTACCTGGACTCTGTGCCTTAAGCATCATATCTATAATTTCTGGCCTCCTTCTTCCCAGTGATTACATCTAAGGACCTCCAGAAGCATGGGAACATTTGGGTGTGCCCTGTGTCCGACCATGTCTGCACAAGGTTCTTCTTTGTGTAAGTCTAATAGGGACCCTGGATAATACTTGAAGAGTGAGGGTGGTGGTACTGGGAAAAGTCCTTTTCCATTATCTGAGACTTGTCTCCTGCTGCATGAGTAGAGCTGGCACTGGGACTTTGACCTTGGAGGATGGGGATGAGTACAGATCACTGGGATCTGTTTAGAGGAAACCAGATAAGCTGAATCCCTTTCATCTTTAAAAGTAGCAAGGGTTTTAACTTTGGGATGGGGTGTCCACCCTCTGAAATACAGTTCTACTACTTGGCATTATCCAGGTATTATTCTCCCTTATGCTCACATTCGCCCTGTCTTTGGCAGATATGAGGATGGTCAGGTGGGCGATGCCAACATTAATACTCAGGACCCCAAGATACAGAAGGAAATCATGCGTGTGATCGGAACTCAGGTTTACACAAACTAAGGGGGCCCCAGCCCTCGTACCACCCTGTTCCCCCAGGATCCATCTGCCCTCATTAAAGGGCTCAGGAGCAGCAGGTGAGGCTGCCCTGAGGAATCAAGAGGCCATTGTCAAGGGRCAGGAAAAGGATAGAAGAGACAACCTTCATGGTGGAGACTGACCCAGGAACCATTCCACATTTGGATGGCCCAGACTGATTCCAATCCCTGATTTGCCCAATTGACTTCACTCTGTTTGTAAATAAAACAATAAAATGGAAGGTGCTGTGGACTGGATATGATCACTGTGGTCTGAATAGCCTTGGCCCAGAACCTACCCCAAGGTTCCAGAGGGGGTGAGTGGGAAGAGTGGACTATTCCCATAGTCAGGACTATTTGTGTTGTATGAAGTCAAAGCTGAGTCCTTTTAATGTTGTATTCTACAGATCTGTTAGCATTTGTATCAATGGATAAAGGTAGAAAAATCTATCAGTCATGCAGATGAAACTGAGAATAAAGAATACCATTAGTGATTGTTAATCAAGATTTAAAAGGGCCTTTGAGGCCAGAGTAACTCAGTGCAGTTTGGGAAGAGCTATATACAGTGACACAAAACGGTAATCTAGCTTCTTAGGAGACTGAGGAAGGAGGATAAATTTCAGTAAGTCAGCAAGACTGTATCCCAAAATAAAATTTAAAAAASGACTTGGATTGTAGCAGGTGTGGGCCCTGGATTCAATCCCCCAGTACTGGAAAACAAAAAAGGTGTGTGTATGTGGGGGTGATAGTCAGAAGAAGATTTGCAATGGGAATCTCTGTAGGGAGAAGATGGAACTCACTGAAACAGTTATCTTGAAACAGCTGCCTTCCTTCACCACCTTGGTAATCTTGGAAAATTGGGATTTTGTTTAAGAAAGGCTGCTGGCCTTTCAAGCTGTACTTCTTAAAGTTCTAAGCATTGCTGAGACATAATGGATGTTTCTGAATATTTTATGAAATATTAATGAATAAAAATGGGCATATAAGCACAGAAAATGCAAAACACATTTTAAAAGCCTGACTTTACAAAGGTAGATTTTTAAATTCTGTTATAGTTTTTGATTTATAATGCCTATTCTAGAYTATGTATTGTTTTTTCATTACCTCTGCTGTACTTTAGAAATACTTTCTTACTTAGATACCCTATGCTCTTTGGGGAATTTTTTTTTTTTTTTTGTACTGGGATGCTTAACCACTGAGCCACATCCCCAGCCCTTTTTGTTTTTTATTTTGAGGCAAGGTCTCACTAAGTTGCTTAGGAMCTCACTGAGTTGCTGAGACTGGCTTTGAACTTGGGATCCTCCTGCCTCATCCTCCTGAGCCACTGGTATTACAGCTATACCCCATTGCTCCTGGCTCTTTACTCCTTCTTGATCAAGACTACTACATTCTAGTCAGGTGTGGTAATGCTCTTCTCTAGTCCCAAGTACTAGGGGGAAACTGAGGCAGAAGGATCACTTGAGCCTGGTTGTAGGCCAGCCTGGGCAAGCCAGTGAGACATATACATAACCCCATCTCAAGAGAATAAACAAACAAACAAACATCTACTATGTTCTGACATTGTAAGTTTCCTAAGGCTCTCGGTTTAGGAGAAATACCTCTTTCACCAAATAAATTACCTATAAGTGAGCCCACACTAACTGAAATTTCTGTCTCTTGGGAGAACCTTTGCAACCCATCTGTGCAGTAATTCAGATAGCTAACACTTCTTATTTCTTACTAGGTTAAGTGTTGGGTATTATGCTAAGCATTTCAATAATTTGTTTAACATTTTATATTACTGTGTGTTTGGCATTGGTGAAAGCTCCCACATACATTGGTTCAATTCTCATAACAAGCCTATGTTGCTGTTAGGTGGTATTATTGATATTTTGTAGATGAGCAAACAGAAGCACAGAGGACGAGTAATTTACTGTATTCTACAACTAGTGACAACAGCCTGACTCCTAAACTAATATTCTGTGGCTTTCAAGCTTTTACAGATACTTTTTTCACTTAATCCTGATTAGAAAATTGGAAGACAGGTTTTCTTTAGAGAGCTTATTTTTTAAAATACTTTTAAAGCATTCTTTTTTTTTAACCTTTATTTGTTTATTTTTATGTGGTGCTGAGGATCGAACCCAGTGCCTCACACAAATTAGGTAAGCGTTCTACCACGGAGCCACAATTCTAGCCCTTCTATAGAGATCTTAATGGGCTAGAGTAAATTGGGCTTTTTTGTTGTTGATGGTGATGGTTTTTTTGTTTGTTTTAGTACCAGGGATTGAACTTAGGGGCACTTGACCACTGAGCCTCATCCCCAGCCCTATTTTGTATTTTATTTAGAGATAGGGTCTCATTGAGTTGCTGTTGAGGCTGGCTTTGAACTCACAATCCTCCTGCCTCAGCCTCCTGAGCTGCTGGGATTACAGGTGTATGCCACCTTGCTGGGCATAAACTGAGTTTTTAACCAATATCCCCAAYTCTAGAACCTGAGCTCTTTAACTACTCTTTTACTTCCCTGGAGATTCTCAAAAAGTCCTCAGTGGTGTTCCTGGAACTGGATGTAGTAGGTATGTGGCTACTGACATGGTATAACTACATTTTTGTTCAATTTCAGAATTTGTTAATAGATTTTTCTCAATTGTAAGCATTTCAGCATGTGATATGGCAAGTAGTAGGAAGTGATGGGATAAGAAGGAATGAACTAGAGTATACCAGAAAAACAAATAACTGAGCTAGCCTCATGGTATCTCCTTAAAAATAGCATATTCATAATCATAATCTTTCTATGCCAATAAAATTATAACAGTTAAATAGACCATTTCATAGTGCTTCACAGAAAAGCAGGACTTTGTGGATCTGAGAAGTTTGTAAACCACAGATAATTGTATATGATAAAATTCAAAACATGAGGTAAAATAAGTCCAATTAAAACATCAAAAACACAAGAATGCCTTAATGGCAGGGAAAYGTTCTGGAGAGGAACCTTCCCGCAGCCTGGAGGGAATATTGAGTAGGGTTTTCCCTTTCCCCAACCTGGTCCTGTCTACCTTGGAGGTGAGGAAACTGGATGTCTGTTAAAGCCAGGTGTGAGCAACAAGGCATCATCAGCCTTCTACCTTTCAAATAGATCTGGGTTCAAACAGCATCACTTCTTTTAGACCTGGACATACTTGGTTAGGGATAGAGGCAGGAAGAGAACTGTTTTCCTCAATTAGTTCCAGTTGGAGAATAGATGGCTGTGATTCTGGACTGAGAATTTAAAAACTGAGTTTAACCTTCTTGTCCTTCCTCTCCTGGTAATTTTCCATTCAGGCTGGGTGTGACCATGACTTAGTTTGTGGTGAGGATGTGGCCATCCACTGGGGAGGAGCCTGCTTGCTTCTTTCATTCTGGCTGGGGAGAGGGAGAAGAATCTGGTGCTGAGTCATGTCTGRTTTACTTTCCAGCTTCTCACAGGAGGATTCTGGATGGAGGTTTGGGGATGTTTCATCTTCTGGTACCAATTTTGGGTACAAAAATTCAATTTTGGAAAAGAAGCTTCATGTATCATACAATGCCTCTAGAGTCTTCTGTCCCCAGGAATAAGGTAGACTTCAGTTCATATAAAGGGTCATTATCCTCCCTGGAGCACAAGACTTTCCACAAATTGAGTTTCAGACCACCCCACCTCACCCCAAGATGGAGCCAGAGATGCCGCCTGTTAAATTAAAGTCATTGCCTATGAAAAATACTTTATGTAAGAGAGGACTCAAAGTCTACTTAATCCTAGCTGTCCTTGGGACAAGTAGGTCAGGTAGCTGGCAGCCAGCTGGCAGCCAGTGTACACAGGCCATAGACAAGAATGGAGAGTGTGTCCAAGGAAAAAAAGAACTGCAGCAGGAGGACTCTTATGGTGGGGAGGAACCTGATGCCTTTTCTTGTTTTCCAAATCTCAATTGTCCATGTCCCCTTCCTAATCTTTTTTCTTTTTTGTCTTTTTTAGTTATAGTTGGACATAATACCTTTATTTTTATGTGGTGCTGAGGATCGAACCCAGAGCCTCACACGTGCTAGGCTCTTGTTCTACCGCTGAGTCACAACCCCAGCCTCCCCCGATTTCCCCAGTCTTATTAGTGTCAGGATCTTTCAGGCTTTACCTTCTCCTAGGGTGAAAAGTGACAAAGTATATCCAGGCAGATTGCTTTTGGGGGGTAGGGTCTGTTTACACTTCGACGTATATTTTGTCTATACTTGTAAGGATTAAGGAGAACGCAGGATGTGATCCAAGGGAGCAACTTGGTAGGTAAGTTTAGACTACCCTACAAGTGSTTTCACTTTCCAATAAGTCCTAGCAGTTCTGGGCTACAGAAAGATGGTTGGAAGTTATTAGGCTGACAGTCTCCTTGGCTGAGGCAGTACTCCATTTGACTGAAAAAGGACTCCTCAGGCTTCTCCCTGCTTCCAAGTGCTTATGCATTTTTACAGGATCCTCAGAAAACCTAGATAAACAATTATATTAAAAACAAACAAAAAAACTTCCCAGGTGCAGTAGTGCATGCCTGTTATYCCAAAGTAATACATATTTCTGCTTTAAACCTGACAATAAAGGCTTATGGGCTATCCTGGTTATCTGTTGTTCTGGGAGAAATAACTCTGCTATATTAGGCAGAGACCAAGATGTCACATAATCAATGAGAAAACCTGTAATCTTACCCTCTTCACCAGGGCCAAAGCTTGTCTTTGGGCTTTGGATTGGGTTCAGTATTACTCAACAAGGACTCCCATTAGAGAGTCAAACCATTAAATTCCAGATTCTTGGGGCTGGGGCTGTCGCTCAGTGGTAGAGCGCTTGCCTAGCATGCATGAGGCCCTGGGTTCAATCCTCAGCACCCCATAAAAATAAACAAAGGCATTCTGTCCATCTACAATTACAAAAAAAAAAAATTAAAAATAAAAAAAAATAAATTCCAGATTCTGTGGTCAGCAATACAAACAAAACAGGAATCCACACCTCTAGTCCAGTGAACCTAACAGTTCCTCCTCCCATTCTGGCCAGATCAGTGAACACAGTGGAAAGGGTCTGCTCTGGGCTGAAGGGCCTATGTCTTTCTGCAACTTGGTTCCCTGTAGCTCTAGGATTGTTACTTGTGAATATTCAGAGGGCTGGCTGAGAGAAGGACAAGCTTGAATTCAGAACCATTGTTTTAGCACTGGTGACCAGGACATTTGTTCAAGACTAGTCAATTCCCAGAGAAAGGCATTGAATTGAACTCATTGACATTAT